AGCCTGACAAGGCTGTGATTGAATTTGCTGTGAAGCAGATTTAACTTCTAGACGCTTTTTAAACTGGGTTTGAGATCGGCACCTTGGTCAGCTTTTCCTGACTATTGTTTTTACAGTTGCTTTCGTTATTTATATTTATTAAATGTATTTTGTCACACTTCCTGAGCACTGAAACAGCCTAATAAGTCTACACAAAGATAAAAATAATGAGGCTGTGATTGAATTTGCTGTGAAGCAGATTTAACTTCTAGACGCTTTTTAAACTGGGTTTGAGATCGGCACCTTGGTCAGCTTTTCCTGACTATTGTTTTTACAGTTGCTTTCGTTATTTATATTTATTAAATGTATTTTGTCACACTTCCTGAGCACTGAAACAGCCTAATAAGTCTACACAAAGATAAAAATAATGATACCGAGAAAGTTAGATTGAATAAAGTTTTCTAAGTTTTTCCGTTGAAATGCTTAAGATAAGGTAACCTGCCCTTTCAGAGTGTTTCCCCACCACCACCACCACCAGCCAGGAGTCTCCTTCTTTCATTTTAAAGTGTGTTTCCAGACTACTTTTCAGAAGCACTGTTAAAGCAACTTGTAGTATGCCAAAACAATAAAATACTTAAGCAATCTGAAATCCTGTAAGTAACATTTAAGCAAAAAGTGGATAGTAAACAGTGGAGAGCTTAATACAGAAAGGTTTCTTGCCCAGGAGGATCCTGACAATGACAGAGCTAATTTGAGCACTACACTGACAAAATCTTCCCCATGACACCTTCAGGTACGTTGGTGAGGAAGAGAGTGATTCAGCAGACAAGTCACAACTACTCCTGCAGCGGCTACAGGAACAGGCAAGAGTCCGGGAACTGCAAAAACGGCAGCAGGGGCAAGTGACTTCTGTGGAATCAAGGGGACCAGAGAATGAAATTAGTGTGTTGGATGTTGGGGAAGAATCAAAGCAGGAGGCCGGAAAGAAGAGAAAACATGAAGGATCCCCTGCTTCAAAAAGTCATAGGAAAAAAAAGAAGAGGCTCCAGGATGGCGGGGAGGAAGTTGTAGGTGAGCAAAATGCTGGCTTTTGTTTGAGTAGAAGTATAACGAATGTAGAGGCATCCAGACCATAGAAAGGACCAAAATAGGTGAAGGTTAAAGATCTCCTGGGTAGCAGCTGAACAGTCTTTGGATCTCTTTCGTTCCTGGATTATCCTCTATCTTTCATCCTGAGATGAACTGGGACCTCCTTTCTCTGCCTTTTAATCCCATTTGGTGTAATGTGTGCTGCAGCCTGTTTCCTGGCTTGATTGACTGGCATGTTGGAGGCTGGTTTTTGGAGCTCTTTGCTACCTGCGCACACCCCTTGCATCCCGTCAGACCCATTCCTTCTTCCCCAACCTCCCTCTTTTGGGGTTCTAAAGCTGGTACAGATACGAATTTTTGTAAAATACCCATCAGAACTCCAGTTGTTTGTCTTGTTTATGTTCCTTTTTGCCAGGAGGGAAAGGTGAATTGGGGGGTCATCAGAAAAACACAAGTGGAGCAGCAGCAGCAACAGAAGAAAGAAAAGGTTCTTTTGGAGCCAGAGAAGAGGACTACCAAGGCAGTGAGAGAGAGCAGAGCCCAAGAGAGGCGCTTCCACCTGCTGGCGTGATTATTCTTGGTGGCTGCACTCAAAAGACAGTAGCGAGAGTAAGCCTCTTGATAGCCAGTCATCAACGTGCTTTGCACCTAGCCCTTGGTGCAGGTGGTGTGGGGAAGGGAAGTGGTTAGGTGCAGCAAAGTCAGGGACACCCACCTTGATGGGGAGATGTTGCAGATCCATGTTTAGAAAGGGAGAAGGGAGGTTCAGTGCATTTTCAGTTGGGAGGCTGGGCAAGCTTTGTTCTCACGCTGGAATTCATCTTTTCTCAGTTGGATGCTTTGCTTCAACCCAGCGTGCACAGTTCCTTGGGTGGCATCATGCAGTGTTTCAATTTGTCACTTTCAGGTGCAGCCTCTTCTGCCTCCATGGCTGGCTCAGCCCAAGCTTGTTCAGAGGCGGATCAAAGAGAACCTTGTCCCTCTCCAGGATGTTCCAGTCATTCACCCAAAGCTGGTGAAGAAGCTGCAAGCAAATGGAATAGAATCTCTTTTTCCAGGTATGGAAGCAATGTTCATTCAGCAGCATTCCACGTCTTGGTCTCTGTTCAAAGCCATAGTACACTGATTTACATCTGAATATTTCTGGTCAGTGACTAACGGCTGAGGATTTCTTCCCTTTGAGGGAACTTAGGTAGTTACTGTTTACGCATGTGGTATTTCTAGCCCTGGGAATTTTTACAGTTTTGAATATGGAGAAAGCCCTTTCGAGGGCTGCTCATCCTATGGTTGTTTGGTTTGTGTTGATCTTGTGTATAGCTATAACAAAGGAGCAATTTCAATGCAGGCTTGTCAGGTAAAATAGGAAACATAACCTTTTTTCAATCTGTAGGAAATGTAAACGTTGCATATAATAATGGGTGTGTTCTGTGCTGTCCAGCCAGAACCAACTTATCGCAACCCTAAGACGGTTAAGAATATTGAGATCTTTAAGGAATAATTCTAACAATTTCACTCCCGCAGGGAGTTTCTATGGCTAAGTGGAGATTCGAGCCCTTTTTGCCTGATAAAAACATGAGTTCGGGGAGGCCTCAGTGCTGCCAAACTTGAAAAATGCAGGGATTTGGATCATCCAGGTGGAAAGCACAGAGCCATTGCAGGAAAATGGGTGTCACTGTAGCCACGAGGCGATGGGGGCGATGGGAAGAGGATTTGAAGCCAAGAGCTGCTAACTAAGAAGGCCATCCTGGATCTTTTGTCAGAAAATACTTTTAGACCAAGATGGCTTGTGGTGAAGACGAGCCTGGGGGACAGGGGAGGCATGTCTGTATACCTGGTTAGAAGAGGCTGTTTCCCCCTTACAACCATATGAGGATCTGGCTGCTCTGATTTCCCACTCTCTTTCTTCAGTTCAGGCAGAGGTGATTCCAGCTATCTTGGAAAGTGGGGCCAGTGGGTTTTTGGCTGGAAGAGGTGGCTATCAGCCAAGTGATATCTGCGTTTCGGCCCCGACAGGCAGTGGTAAAACCCTGGCCTTTGTCATTCCTGTGGTGCAGGTGAGCTTCAGAGATTTCTCTCTCTCTGTATGTGTGTATGTGTGTGGGTGCATGCTCAGCACCATAGTAATCAACGTTTTTACAGCCAAGTGGTCCCATAGCACGTGATGACATGGGCAGTCTGTGTGTATGCGTAGGGGTATGTGTCAATGAACTGGAGGTCATTCTTCACCGGGTCTGAACGATCCTGGAAGCCTCCTGAGTAGAGCCAGTAGGCGTAAGGCCTGCAGCCTCTCTCTTCTGCCTCCTGTGAGGTTTCCCTCCCAGTAATTCCACTCACTTGTCCCTCCCTCTTCTCTGTCCATCAGTTTGAAGCATGTTTTCTTGCACAGTTAGTTCACCTGTGAGTTTTGCAGGACTCTGTCTACGTCCATTTCAAAGCCTGGCCTCAGCCTCTCTGTCCTCTGGACAAGAGGAGATCTCGTTTGGAGCAAAGGGAAGAAAAGACAGTCCAGGTCACCCAGAGAGGAGAGGAGGCTCCTTGAAGTGTGTGGGCTCTATTTAAGGCTTCCCTGGGGCTTCAGAAAGTGGCAGGGTGCTTTGAGGCTAAGGGAGCCCCTTCCCCTTGTACTTTCGTACTCATGGGTTATCCTGACAGTTGGTCTTTCTTTTGGCAGGCCCTGCTGGACCGTGTTGTCTGTCGAGTGCGTGCCCTGATCGTCTTGCCCACCAAGGAGTTGGCACAGCAGGTGTGTTCCTGGCAAGCAGGCTTTCCTTTTGGGGAATTAACTGCAGATTGTTCATCCTGGCCAAGAAACCGTCTCTTACAGCTTCTGCTGAAAACGTTTGGCATACCTTCCTTCCCTCTTCTCAAAGTGTAATAATAACTTGGGTGATGGAGGCCAGTCAGAGACGGTAAGGTGAAGGGAGGGTGGCATCAAGGCTTCCGTAGCCTTCCTGATGGTCCCGCAGCAGCAGCAGGCACAGAGTGAACTGAAAGTGGGTTTCTGGATCTGTTAGTATGTCTCTG